GTGTGCAAAATTGAATGACATTTACAATAACAACACTTGAATGGGTGAGAAAACCAAAAGGTGGAATACATTTTTGTAGGCATAAAACGCCATTGCATACTGGAATTATTGAAAAACAAAACACTCACACACAAATAACCGCAAATACCATAATAATCAGACACTCTCAGTTTTACAATAACTTCTGCACGGTGTATATTCACACTACAGCTTCGAATTAACACAATATTCGTAGCGCAAAGCACCAGTTGTACCATTTTCAGAACGGGTGAGACCATAGTGTTCGTTCTAAATACGCAATCAGCCCGACGTAATTTTTGTTGCTTGTTCATCGCAAATGCAGTTTGTTCACAAATGTTGCGACGAATTATGAAAATCATCATTGCAGCCTGACGCCAAAATTACTTTTGGCATGCGAACAAATAACAATCATACAACTGAACAGTACAAATAAAACGGATATTTAATAAGCGACAAGGAGTAAAGAAAAACCTTTCATCAAAAAATCATGTAAGTTGTTATTAATGTAAATGCGATTTTATAGTTTGAATTGAACATATAAAATTTGGGTAAATGGCATTTATGATGTAAAAAAAGTTTCAAATTTTCTGTATAAATAGAAGTTTAATTCGACAAATAAGTTCGAAAATTACATCAAAACTCAATGGTGAGTGACATTAAATAGAGATATCGGTTATGTGATAAAAAAAAGAACTAATTTCAAAAGAAAAATCGATTAAAAGTGGCTAAAACGAGTATCGGCAATTGCCATTTCATGGCAAATTTAGAGCGCAGTTGGTTGGTTCATTGAATCTAACACGAAAACATTTACGGAAACAGTTTTCAATGTATATTGCATAGCATTCATGCAATCATCGTTCGGTGACCTCAATGTGGACAAAATAATTAAAAACCAGCAGTTACCGAACGATTGAAACATTCATCACATAAAATGCAACAACACAAATATTTAACACACCGGAGAATGATTGTGAGACTTGAAAAAAGATATTGTATTTCAATATTTGTTTGTAAAGAATCACATTCATTCTCGGACACTAAATTATTTAACTTTTCATTTAAATGCTTTTCTGAGAGCTAAATGGTTTTTCTTTTCGTGGTTCGTTTCAGGATTTCTGATATACCATCAGGAACATACAGCCGATTGGGAATTGGATTGATTATATTCACACATGTGATTGCGTACAATGAAAGTGGAGCCATAACGGTGATCTTCTCCGCATTTATTGCGACAATATGTGCAACGTTGTCAGGTAAATCAATTTGCTCTTTTTTGTGGTTCATTTTATGACTTTTTTAGCACACAAGACTAAAAAAACGTATCCGAGGCATAGACACAAAATCAAGCAAAAAGCAAGCCAAAAATTTCATTTTACGCCTTGTTTAATGTTGGCCTCCATGAAAATGCCATGATACGCGAATAGTCGTAAATTCATGAAATTAAAATGAGTTGAAAAAAGCAACAACAACAATAGAACACAGAATGTTTTGCTTTCAAAGTAAATGGATTTTCGCGGTGTGTGTATGTATGTGCGCTCATATATATTCGTAAAATCGATAGTTAAAATGGAACGTGCCCTATTCAACACACAATATGTAAACAATGCGCTTCGCGACAAATACCAGTTCAAATGTCGTCGTTTCGTTGGCCGTTTCATTTACCATTTTATTCGTATTTCTCTCTCTCTCTCTCTCTCTCTCTCTCTCTCTCTCACAACGACGAGTTATGCGATAAACGACGAAAAAGCGAACGCCAACACTTCTGATATGCATCAGAGATAAATTATTATATGCCATATGATACTGTGTACTGAAATGTTTCCAATCGTCGTCGCGTACCGAGACATTTTGTCCTTCACGTGTGTGTGCGAATAACAAACGGAAAATGCAAATGAAAGCGAACATCGAAAAACTACTCGAAATGTATTTCTTCAAAAAAAAAACTTTTTCTTTCCGTCTCTGATGCGCATTTTCATACTCGAGGCATTTTTATACGTTTTTTTTGTTTCCATTTTGCTTGACATTCGCCTGTGTTATGATTATTAATATGTGATTTATTCCATTTCTTTTTCTTTTGTATCATTACCTGTTGTTGAAAATACACAAATCGTCGATTTTTTAGCATTTTGCAAGAGTTCACTCAATCACTTGAAATTACCATTAATACGGGAAACTCACAAATTCGATTTCTTTATATTATTTCTCGCAATATGGATGGATTTATTTTCATTGATTTGTGCTTGTGGTGCATTGACACGAACGCTGAGCGTATGCTTGGATTCTATGACCGGTGGCATGGCAAGAATATATATTTTAGGACGTAACTCGCCGATGAATGAGCCGTGGCCTGATGTTATCGGATTCTCAATTATTTTTATAGTTAGTGTTATGTTTATGCTTGGATTGGAGGTAATTACTGCCATTTTAAATTGGCCATTGTTTTCTTCCTTTTTTTATAAGTTTATTTCTCTGCCACTTATTGACACATTTCAATTTATATGTGCGTTCCTCACTTAATTTACACAGAATTCAAAGGTGTTTTCATTCATTTTGATGGCAAGCATGTGTGGCATAGTTTGCATTTTGATTGCGATCACATCGATAAGAGGCAATTTAACGGCATGGCAATCAAAACAATGGTTACCAAAAGGATTGCCCGGTGTAAGTATACGACTTTTCATTCAGTTTCTTTGCATATTCATTATGGATATGTATTAATATGACGTGATTTCATTTGATTTAACCCTATGCACTTGCAATAATAAATAACGAAACCGTCGCACAGTTGGTCACTTCAGCTGCTTTATTGGTGTTCACATTTCCGTCTGAACTTCCTGCAACAGGTAGCAAGCGATTCAAAGCAACGATTATCGGTATATTTATATGCTTAACAATTGTGCTGTGTGCCGGGTGCCTCTCAGCTGTTATTACTTCCAAGTAATGTGTCCACTGAATTCCATTCATATTTCAATATCAAAATCCAATTGACTAATGCAATTTAAATCAATTTTATTTGTTCACTTTTCTGTTGTTTAGTTCGAACGAGGAATTCATTGCTGTTCCCATTCTATCGATACTGGAGACATTGGATTTTCATAATTTCGAACCGGCCATTGCATGTCTTTTCGTTTTGGTGTGTTCGTGTGCATTTCTCGAATTATTTTCGGAAATGTTTCACTTGATTGTAACACTCACGACGTCCGATTGGAAAATACTATCACGGCAAATTGGTTATGAGCATGGTGACAGTGGTAGTCCGGTTTTAGCTGTATTCACCGGTGGCAGCATTTGTGCAATGATTGCTTTTGCATGTCCACTTGAAATTATTGTTTATTTTATTGCGGGAAGTCAACTCATTTCGGGACTATTTCGTGTCTTATACTTGTTGTACTGTCCATTCCGACCAAAGTACATGGTAAACACAAAAAGTAAGACAATTTACCAAATAATACCTTTATTTATTCAATGTTGAAGTTTTACAAAATGTTTCAATCTATTTTTAGTCTTTGCATTGATTTGTATATTCAAATTGACTTTCGTTTTCCTTGAGACAATAGCCTTGACCATTTTATTCAAACTGAAAATGAATATTTTCTTTTCGATTTTACTCAACTTTCCAGATGATACTTCACTTGGCTACAGTCAATTAAAACCAACCGCAACAACACTGCGACAATCAATGAGCAACACATCATTTTTACAGTCAAACTCAAATGTTTCCACAGCCGGTGATGTTTCGCGACGCATTTTACGCTGTTTGAGTAAACCGTCGATTGTTTCGATACCAAAACCAAAACCACGCACCAAAAAACGAAATGAAGAAATGGAAAGGGAATGGCTTCTATTGGGTGAACCAGCATCACCACGTAATACAATCATTTTGGACGATGAACAAGACACATCAACATTGACAATAACACCAACTGGGCCGGAGAATGCATCCAATCAAGATGTCGAAGCCTTAAAATCACCCAATGAGTTAATTCAAAGCAGCAGCGATTCGGAGAGTTCAACCGACATCGATGCCGTTGTCGATGAATATCGACAAAAAGTCGAGGTTATTTCCGGGCCATCAACGGAGAAAGTGCTTCGTATTCCGTCTATTGAGTCTTGGCGTCTTTCGATTGTCTTGATTGTTTTTTACTTTTTTGGCGTTTGTCTTTGTCTCTTTGCATTCGCAATTGGTTCGGTTTTGATTTTTAGTGCCGCTGCTTTGGGTGAGTTACCACACTTGAAAAATAGATTTAAAAAAAAAACATAAGAGACTAATTGAAAATAATTTCATTTTTTTTTCATAGTGGTGCTATTCTTCACATTAGTAATGCTGTTTTTGCCACGTTATAGTCATTCGGAAACATCGCCAAATGTAATATTTTGTTCGCTGACAATTTTATTGGAAAGCATTTTATTGGCGTCGACCTTTTCGATTTCTCTACCAGCGATAATTGCATGGCTGATCTCCGGTAGGCATCCAAAGCAACACTTTCATTTCTTAATTGAATTAAATTGTTATTTTCTATATTTTAATTTAGGCGTTTTGGTTTACACACGTTGCGACACATGGTTCTCGCTTTGTATTGAACAGCCGATTTATATAAGTCATATAGTGACACCAACCGCAAACTGTTCATCAACGTCGAATTTAACGAAATCGATGATTCGTTTGCCAAGACCACCAAAAGGTTCGCTAATTCCATCACGCATACATGGACAATGTAGATGACATTTGGAGTATGCGGACAGTGAATACACTGATGATGGTGAAGAAACGGCCGAAGAATGGACCGATTAAATTACTCCGAATTCTGACCGAACTGAGATGCAAAGTTTCGATTTCAGAAGCATTATTTTACGCAGTAATAAGTGTTCGTTGCATACTTCAAAATAATAATCTAAAAGTTGTGACAAACTCGGTGCTTGTTAACAAACCAAACAATTAAACTGCCCGCGAATTTAGTTCATGAACGTTTTAATGGCGAGCGATTTTATTGAATTGCATTCCATATGGAATAGAGATATTTTTTGATAATTTAGCTGAAATGTGCTTGAAAACAACAAATATATAAATAACATATGTAGAACTGTATATTCTGTGAGAAGTGAGATGACAATTTATGTTCAGCAAATCAAAATCAATTAAATCAATAATAAAATTGAAACCATTGTGCCTATTTTAGCGCCATTTAGACTATATATGTTGCAATTTATAAACCATCTGGAGATTTTATTTTAAAATGGTAGCGCATACAATTGACGCAATATTTATTCATCATTTCAAGCCAAAGATAATAACAAACGAATAATAACAGTAATATGGTTAGTGCTAAGAATCAGAAAAAAAATCATATTCCAATTTTGATTACTAATTTATTAAAAAAAAGTATTTTATTCAGTGGTTATATCGATAAATGTGATCCGTCTAATTATTACAAAAAAGGTATTAGAACAATTTTATTAGCATTACATTATATATTTACTGATCATAATAGATGTTATAATGTCAGACAGAAATAAATTTATTCAATATTAAGACAAAAAAATCGTTTTTTTCCTTGTGTCAATATTTTACATTTCAGAATTCAGAGGTAAGAGGGAAAGTACTTGAAAATAACTTTATACGGTTTCTGTAAATCAGCAATTTTTAGAACAATGCAATGAACAGCAATGGGTAAAAATAGTAATTTGTATGAGTGGTTCAATGTTCGATTGGCTTTAATGAAAATATCGATTTCGTTGGAAAATATATTGGATCGAATGGTTTTG